CAAATGGTATAATAGAAAACAGGTTTCAATCTTTTATTAAAGACACGCCTTAAACAACAACTGGCCGTGCTGTATAATTATGCTACACAGTATACAAAATGCCTATTATGCACGTCCAGACAGTGTGTATCTGCGCCAGAGGCCTTTGAAATATGTTTGTCTGCTGCATTATCTGGCCCTTGTGCTGCAGCAGCTCAAAGCCAGAGCATGCACATAAAGGGGAGCTATAATTCTTCAGGCATAAAAAAAGAATTTTGCAGATGGGGTCAAAGAGGATAAAATGAGCATATCTTGCTACAGTGGAGACGTCATGGAAACCGGCGCATACATCTGGCCATAAATGGGCAATGTGTGTTCTACAGGCCACTGGATGGTTACATAACACCTCACTGTAAACACACAATGGCCCAGTTAGTGGAGCATATTGCTTTCAATGACTTCTCTTAATGAGAAGAGCAGCACAGTGTAAGTGCACTTGCACTGTGCCGAATTTCAAACTTCCTTCCACAGTAATTGTAGCTACAGGGCCGTTCTCGCTATAGTGCACAAAAAAGTTTCACAGAAGGCTTTGGTTGACATACAAGTGACTTCCTCCTGCAGAAAGGCATGTTTAAAAAAACTCCGACTTTCACACCTGTTAGCTTTGAGACAGCTCCTCTTGCTCTTGTAGCTCTCCTCTTGCATGTGAGGCCCGTGCTCCTTTATCTGTCCCTTTTGGTGGCAGAACATCACGTAGTTAAGTCCTTTGTTGTTAGCCCAGAATGTGCCCGCTGATGATTCATAACAGAGACAGAACTCCAATCTAGTCCCTTCTCTCTCAAACGGAGGCACCAAAGTATACTTGAAGGCAAACCTGTCTGTTTTTCTATCACTGGACCCGGGCACATAGTCTGCCGGGAGGTCAAAGCAGCTGTTCCAGCGGTCGAAAGTGATCCGGGCAAAAACAGACTTACTGTAGCAGAGGTTGACCACCCTGACGATGCCTCGAAGGGTGGTGGTCCCTGGGAGGAGTTCAATGCTCTCCAGCTCGACCATCTGTGCCTGCAGCCTCTGTTCCAGCTCCTCCGGGGATGACGGGACTGTAAACAGACAGCACATATAGAGCTCCTCTAATGAATGAAGTGCCTCCTGCTCAGCAGCCCGACTGACTTCTAGTTCTGCCGCTTCAGCACTGTCAAACTCCTTGACAGAGACCAGGTTGAGGCCAAATGCATCTGCGAAAGACACCTTCCTGCGAATAACTGGTGGGGGTTCTGGTTCCGAGTCGTCATCTGTCTCCTCATCTGTGGTGGAGCCCGTGAGAGAAGAGGCCTTCATTCCCCCCTCATCCTGTTTTCCACTTTTCCCTTGTTCCTCCTCCATCATCAGCCCGTCCTGTCGCGAGGGTTGAACGCACAGAGTCTCCATAATATGCGATGGTCTTGAGCTGTCTGCCTGTCCTGCCGTCTGTCCACTAGGAGGGTGGCACAGACCAGAGTGACCCTCGCCCGGCTACAGTGATAGTGTAGAGGGGAGAGCAGGGAGAGGACGTGACTTGACAGATGGAGTTCGGTTACAGCGAAGCTCGTGAGCCTGAGCCAGGCCTATTAATAGGACACATATAACTAGACCAAGGCTGGCCTGTTATCCTCGCGGTTACGCTCTCATAATATGTTTGTTAGTAACATCATAACTACATGAAAGCAAAGCATTTACAGAGCTCTACAATGGAAAATTAGTGCAGAAAAAGGACATACTTGAAGCTACTTTGAAGTTTTTTATTTTATTTTACATTTACTTGCTTTGCAGCAACAAAGTCTTAAAAGTTTCACATAGCAAAATTTCTACCTGCTTTTCGACAATCCACACCTGATACAGTATCTCTGCATTCTTGGCTACACTGTAAAAGCAGTTGTCTAGTTTTACTTAATGGTGATCAGGCCTCTGGGTATAAATCTAAAGCTAAACAGACTAAAGTTTGATGAAAAGTCATCCTTTGAAACAGCACAAATGGAGAGTGATCGATCAACCTAAGGACTGATTGTTAGCATAAGGTGCACATATGAGAACAGCTCTGAGATGCTTTAGTTTTTGTTCAGGAATCTCACCAGTGTTAAAAGCAATAAAATGTAAAATGCATTTTCCAGACAAAGTAACTATTAGTGCTGCCGCTTCAAAGTATTTACTGACACTGATCAACTGAAGTACCATAGGAAGTTGGTCTGAAACTGAATTGCCACACCTAAATTCCTTGTGTTACCAAGTGTGTCCCCTGCTGAAATGTCCCCTAGAAAGAAAAGTATCATCCTACCCACTGCAGGGGAGCTGCAGCTGACTAGTCACCTCCACGTGGACAAGGAAATGAAAGCATGTCCACACTGTCATCAATAATGTATCAAATTAGTATTAGTTCTGTTGCTGTTCTTGGAAGGCCAGGGACTCTCTTGTATCATCGACATTAAAGCAGACTTAATTTTCACTGCATCTTGGACAACAAAACAGAACATTATTATGAGATTGGACTCTTTCTTTGGCTGTGTGCGTGTGCATACTGACATGATTTTGCACAAAGTGATCTCAGATAGGAAGTTTAATTCAACTAATCCTTGATATGCTGGATAAGTATACCCCCAGATCTTGTATATCTTGTAAATAGACATTGGTGCTTGTTGTATAATCTTTTACAAGTGTGTGAGTGGGTTTTCTTTTCCCCCAAAGGACCCTTTGTTCTTCATACTAAAGGCAAAAATGCTCTCCTTGGACTTTTCAACTGCAGTTTTAGTGATTAAGTTGCATCATTTGCAGCGTATGAAAAGGCAGACATGTGACAAGTGTTAATTTGCTACAGCTAAGTGCAATCATATAAAATACATAACATTAAATGCATACAGTCAGTAGCAGGAATGCTAAAAAAAAAATGTCTAAATGCAAGACGAATTGTGTGACTAAGTTTTATCAGTAGATGGCACTATGTGATCATAGTAAAATTCATGTCAGCACAAGTTAAAATTCATTTGCATTTCCACTGTAGTCTCCCTTAGTGTGATAATGAGTTCCAGGCGTACAGTTAGCCTTGTCCACAAACAAGATCATTACAGAAGGAAAAGGTAATATTAATATTTCTTCTGTGTACCTAAGACTTCCTGTGCCAGTTACCTTCATCAGAAAGTTGTTTTCTGTTTTAAAGAATGACCAGTAGGTGGCGGCATACCACCGTCACAATTCCACGAGACTGCTTTTCCCTTCATGTCCTCATCATTTTGCAGATGCTGCTTCCTCTAATTCACGTTTCACGGAATATTTAGTTGCAATAAAGATTTTTAACACAAACAAAAGCACAAAACGGTAGAAAAGACTGTGTGCGTATACCACACAATTACTGGAACAATCCCAGTTTATATTACATCAGACAGATAAGTGTCTAATACTGTATTTTTTCAGATGATTTCAGAATATAATATGGGTATTCCGTGCATACACGCCAACAGGAAACAGCTTTCAGGATAGTGCTGATAAGAATAATAATAACTAAAAAATAATGTATTTTTAAAAAATATTTACGTATTTAGTCAGTAATAACAATAATAATGGTAATAACAATAGATCTTTTTTTGTATATTAAATTCACATGGACACACTACACAGCAACATGTACACATCACCTACAACCGTGTTTCTCTCAATTATTTGTAACATAAATAACACCAGATATATAATCTTTAAATGCACTAATCGCCCTTCTTAAGCAAAACACTTAGCTCTTACTCCTTTTCCTTTCCCACTTGATATTATTCTGAATATTTATTTCTAAGCTATGAACATCGTAGCGTTTGAAGAAAAAAGGGGGAGGGGGGATAGAAAGAAAAAAAGAAAGAAAGAAGAGGAAAGACGAGATGGAAGAAAGCAAATCATTTTAACTACTGCTCAGGGTTGTGCTCAGTGTTTGACTGGCTTCGGATCTACTATTAGATGAATAAATACACTAAATTACGTTGTAAAGGTATGACAGAATAAGTAATAATAAAATCCTCCAGTCAAGAATCTGTACATGTTGTCGTATGTTTTTCTTTTGTAAAGTATTTATTCAACAGTGATTTTCTGTATACAGAGTTTAACCTTAAACGTGTTTACACTAAAGCACAATTTTAATAACACTCATAATGATGATGGCGTTTAGGATATTATGTTTTTCACGCACTGGTTTCCAATCATCCTCTCAGTGTAAACACTTGTAGACAACCGCGAATATTTCTATCTGCAAACCTACAATTTAATGACGTGCACGTAAAAACGCCAGCTTTAAAAATGTCACCGCTGATGAGAGAGGTGCAGTTTAAACTCTGGCTCGAAAGCTGCTGAAGATTTTAAGGTATATTTGTTTCCATCGATGCTTTCATTTGCATTATTATTTGTTTAAAAAAAATCCTGTCGTGCAGTTTTATGAAAGTCGGTTAATTACGCAAAATTTGAGAGGAGAAAACACACAAAATGACCTTAAAAAGATTCAAAAGGGAAACAGTCACGATTGATGTATGCCGGAGGAAGCTGCTACATAAAAGCAGATCCTCTTGATGAAATATTGCAGGAACATTAAAGGCATATATTGATTCTTTTCTTCAGTTTAATAGCGGATGGTTTCGCACTACTTCTTTGCGAGTTTTAGCATATAAAGTCAAGTTTATCAAAAACAAGAAATGTTGCTTTTTGGTTGGCGGGATCGTCCCATTAGTGGAAGGTTACCGGTTCAATCCCCAACAATAATATCTAACTATGGTGAACTCTTCCTCACACGGGCAGCAGCTCTCCCCGCTAAAATACTTAATAGTTAAACGTTAGCGAAGAGTGAAAAAAGGGGGGGGGAGCAAACTTTTAAAAATACTTTTTTTTTGTTTACAGAGCAGGTGGCCCTGACGTCACACGGGGTCGCAGTACGCCCAAAAATAACAAACACACCTCCGCGAACAAGCAAGTGCCTCCCCTGGGGGGGTTCTAGTCCCAAATATACTACTTGCTTGCCGGGTTGCTGCCTGATGTGTGTTTGAATCGTAACGAAAGAAAGAAAGAAAAAAAAAAAACAAGCCGCTTCTTCTTCCTCGCATTGCGCGTCATTCAAACAGGACTCAGTATATTGCTTTTCTCTCTGTTGCATTAGTAATAACAGCGGCGTTGACGGGAGACCGCAGGAGAGAGTGTGTGTGTGTGTGTCTGTCTCCGACAGCGGTGCCCAGCGGAGGAATATTTGAGCTTTTTTTTATTTACTCTGCAGCTTGTTGTTCATTTTCTCTGCGTTATGGTGAACTTGGACAGTCACGTGCGAAGACGGCTGCAAGTGTAGAGGACGACGGTTTCTCACCTGGCGTGTCCACTTTGACTTTAGGGAAATATACCTGCCGTTTCTCGTGGTAAGTTTTCCTGCGCAGGAGCGTATTAGTCTCCGAAAACCTTTGACTATTTTTTCTAAACCTCTCTGTCCACTGCATTTGAATTAGGAAGTGAACCGCTGGTTGTCAAGTTTTTGCTTTTTGTTGGGTTATTATTTACACGTTGCGCTCGGAGTTAGCGAGCTGCTTTGACAGATTTCCCTTAGCTCGGTATTCGCTTAAAAAAACTGTTAGGACCTTTTGAGAGCACTGTCCAGTCTTTGCCTGCTCTGAAAGCTGAACGCTGATTTTTTTTTTTTAAGTGCGACGATATAAAACAAGTTGTTAATTTTCTAACACATTTATTCCACATGTCTAACAGAATTAGGCTATTTACCGATTTTTATTCACCGTTATGTGATAAATTAAATATTTAAAAATTAATTTAAAAAGTTTGCTCCGAAACCAGCTCAATTCTTTTGTTTCTTTTTTTGTATATATATATATATATATATATATATATATATATATATATATATATATATATATATATAGTCTTCACTAGAGAAAAATAAACAAAAAACTACATAAAGGACAAGTATCTACATGAATTTAATTGGAAGCTATTTTATTTTCCAGCTGAATTTATTTTTTATGCAGCTACCTACTACGTTGTAGTAATTAGTAAAAAAAAGAAGGAAACTGTGATTTGATTTGCATCTTATTGCAGCTTCTGTGTGTAAGATATGAAGTCAGTTTAATTCTTTTTCAGTGCAATCCTTTAGTGTTCTAGCCATATAATGATATCACATATGACTGGTGGTTTTAAAACCATGTTCCACTAGTGCTCAGTTATATTTTTCTTTAAATACCACTGTCACAGCTTCTTAAGCTCAAAAGGTGCATTTAGATTTAATGATCCTTTACCTGCATGACTGCTGTCTGCGTTATCAATATCTACGATTAATCAGCTTACCGTAGTTGCATGCTCCATTTTTATATTCCATCTTTTTTCGTTGTCCAGAAACAGACAGGGGTGTTGGTAGTGTATTGCTTTTCATCATGATAAACCTCCAATTCAGACTAATTTCTCTAAACATTACAAGCTCCTAAAAAAATCTTCTGCTGGCCTCCTCTATTTCACACTCCCTGTCCCTCCTGTCTTGCAATCAAGTGTGGCCCAAAAATCAATAGATGTAACTTTTTTTTCCCCTCTCTTTTGGTAAAGAAAGGCTAACAAGGCACTGGGAGCTGCAGAACTCTTCAGGCCTGTCCTCTGATCAGCTTTCACCCCTAGATTAGCTGGATCGACCTTACTTGTTCAAGCCGCAGGGTGCACAGGTGTTCCCTCCTCAGTTATGCAGGTGTGGGCCAGTTCCCCCCCTCACTCAGCAGCTCTCACTCTTCAAAGGCCAGGCGGCAATAAATGCCCCTTGTGAAATATGTCAGCGACAGCGCACAATCAACCTTTGTTGAAATGCCCCTGTAATTATTTCTCAAAGTGTGTTTAAAACAGACTCTTGTTTACTTGTTGTTTAGGTGTCCTTGCATTTGGTAAGTGAGGCCACTGGATTTTGTAAAACAGGATGCATTCTTCTCCTTCCCTTACCCACTTAAGGCAGTGGGAGAGATGCAGAGAGACCTGCCATTAGTCTCCCTTCAAGACTGACCGTTGTTGGGAGCAGCGCACTTATTACCCCGGCTCTCCCCACTCTGCGTCCATTTTTTGATTGCAGCATTCATCATTGGGTGGTCGTGCTCTACATTATGGTAATAGGAAAATGAATGTCCTCCACAGGATTAATGTGTATACCCTGTCATATGTTTCAATCATTTATCAAAATTAAGATTCGGCTTTCAGCTCAATGAACGCTGGTTGATGCATGATTTTGTCTCAGATATGAGAATTGTTGCTTCTAGCTGAACTCAAGTAGAAAAATCCTTTGTGTTTATTTTTTTTTTTTATTCTAATACTCCTGTGGAAACTTGCACAGTTTCCACAGTTTTTTATTGTGCACTGTGCAAAATAAAAAAGGGGGTGGGGGGGTTTGATTAGAAGAAAGTGGCTTTTATACACAGATCACATCAGTGTTGTTTTTGGCTCTTTAGATAATGAAACACTCATTTTTGGATTAGTGTTTGAATCGCACCATCACCCATCCCCCAGTACCACTGTAATGAAGCAGACTGTTCACTCAACCCTTGAGGTGTTGGTGCTTTTCTTTTCTTTTTTCTTTTTTTTCGGGGGGGGGGGCATGCATGGTTAAGAAATTTGAAGGAGTGGCGCACTAGCAGCATCACTTATCTAACCTCGTCAGTGAGCCCATCCAGTGTGTTTTCACTCAGCCCCTGTTACATAAACTTAAAGGTGATTAAATGGCATGTGTTCAGGTTATATCCCTTCATAGAAATGTTTCTATGACAACCTCCGTACCTCCGTGCAAGTTAAAGCAACCAGAAGTGATCACGTCCGTCCCCCCCTCCCCGCTGCACTTTGGTTCCCTCCCCCTCCAAGTTAAGAATGGAATTTGTGTTGACAGTTTTGGCCTTTAATGGCACTTTTGTGCCGCGCAAAAGTATTTGTTTACCAGGATCATATGCTGCAAGCTGTCAGCTTTGGAGAGATTGACTTCTTAAGATAAAAGAGTGCATTACATGCTTAGGAGGCCACTCTTTTGGACTGTAATTATCCACATTTCAGTAATGATGTTTTGTGTGTCCCAGTTACTAAGAGTCTTGAGACAGCTCAGACTTTTTTAGTTACGCTCTGGGTCACTTCTTAAGCCCAGCTAGACACCGTTGTCGACGAGGAACGCTGTGACTCTTTGGCTGGAGAAAGCTGTGTAGGGTGGGGTCAGGGGATGTGGATTATAGAGAGATTGCAGGCTCCTCACACAAGGGTGAGTTAATAGGGAAAAGTTGGTAACATACTCACTGACCATTTGATTTTTATGCTTGCTTTCCCAAGTTAAAAAGATTATGTGGCTATGCTGTAAATTGACTTTAATCAAAACAGTCACGTATCAAAATGTCCTGTAAAGATTGTTTTTGCAAATATTACTACATCTTACGTCATCATGTATCCCTCCAAGGGTTGTAAAACTCACAAACAGATGACCACACTCCACAACCTGAGATGTGTAGTTTTTTGCTGGCGTGTATCACAGTGTGTCTGACTCTAAATGCAAAGAAGCATTCATGCAAAGTTATAAAACATTAGCTTTGTGTACACAATCTTTCTTACAGTTATGAAAAATAAGTCATGCTTTTCATAAAGTTTAAATTTCTCCTCTTGGCTGTTCTACTCTTGACCGTGACCTCATATATTGTAGTCTTCCTTTCAGCTGACACCAAGCTGCAACCTTCAGGGGTGAAAGATGGAAGCCAGCACGGATTGCCAGAAACTGCAGTTCCTGTAATAGCCACTTGAGACTGTCTCCAAAAGCGAGTCAATCTCCACAGACTCCAGCATTAAATCGCTGAACTCTACAGCCTGGTACAAAAGCATTTTATTCATTCTCTTTAGCTTATTTCCAGCTTTTTGGGAAGATTAGGTTTTTGTTAGAATTTATCCATTTAAATGTTATTTAAACTGCTATGAGCGACAGGTAATTGGAACGGTATTTCACTTTTCTAGTCCTACCACTCAAAGGTGGGTGCTGACAGAGGTGGATAAATGCTAGCTGTTTGCTGATTCAAGTCACTAACAGTACCTTCCAACCATGCAGCCTTTTGGAGCCTTTTTAATGCAGTTAGCTGACAAATGATATGGATTGCTGTGTTGTTAATTGTACTTTCAGACTTTCCAGGAAGTCTCTTTTAAGTTTGCTGAGTGATGTTCTAACATTTTATTTGTATGTTGTTTTTCCATTAAATAGTATACATCTGTGTCTGTATGATGCATCCACGCAGTCTATGGATGCACCTTGACAACCAAGCTTCCACCCACTCATCCAGATGTGTTCACTTCTGGTTCTAAAAAAAGATGGAAATGCAGGATTCAAAATGTGGAGCCCACAACGGGCGATGTTGGTTGTGGCCACATACAACCATGGGTCCATTTGATAGCAGCCACAGACCTTACATGTTTTTATATCCTCAGTTTTTCTTTCTTTCTTTTTGAGTTAGCAGTTGCATGTTTACTGTGTGGCCAGTGTGGTGTGAGGGCATGACAGCTTTTATTCAAGTCACGGTCAGATGGACGATGTCCTCATGTGAAAAAAAAAAAAGTGTTGGTTTTGGGGGTCTTGCCCTGAATTAAAGACAGAAGGTCACTCATGGTAAAAGGCAAGGTCACTGTTACTCAGACTGCATTCAGCCATCAGCTTGTCACTTGTAAACAGTGAGGACTGAGGTCCACTGAGGTTTAGAAGGTCTTTATATATGATATGTTAATAGAATAATGATTATTTTAATTAATTTCACAATAGAAATGTAAGAAAAAAGAAAAAGAGGTTAGGTTTCATAATGCCTAAGTTGGTTTTTACCTTAAATAAATAAATAAATATAGTATTAGTTAATGAGTGTACAGTTGTAAAGACTGGGCTTTATAGAATGGTTTGTATTGATGGGTTTTATCCTTTTTAGAAACAAAAACACACTGTGCCTCACAGAGGAAACAACCTTTCCTCTTTACCCTAAGAGACACAGAGAAAAAGGGAAAAAATGTTTATTTCAAACATGTTGTGTGTGTAGGGGGAAAAACATGAAAGAGAGGGGGGGTCATGACAGTAACAATTTTTGACAGGCACATTAGGCTGCAGAAAGAGCATCCAGCTCGGGGCTGAGGGCATATGGTGCTGCCTTCTGCTGGCATAGCTCTAGAACAAGTTACAGCACTCGTGCAGGGTCACGACTGTCTCAGGTTTGTTCCTTCTGTCTCACCCGTCTAAATAAAAACAGGGGGGAGAAAAATGGTAGTGGGGGGTTGGGTTGCGGTGGTGTTGAGCATGCTGGGCATAGCTTTGGTGTTGTACACTAGCCGTGTCTTTAAGCAAAAGGACAAAGAGAATGTTCCCAGTCAGGCCCCTTTGAGTCAGGACATAATTTGGTCAAAACGTGGAAGGGAGACGTTTGACATTTCCAGAAATGCATCGCTTTAACTTTGGATTGTTTCGCCACCATGTACTCTCCACCACAGTTTTTATTTCTGGCAATGCGAATGTAAATCTGCATAAAACATAATAGCAGTTATCAAGTTCTGAGCAAGTACAGCGTAGTTCTTTTCTCTTCTTTCACCATCTGAACACCCGGCTCGTGCTCCTGGATGGCAATCCCTAATCCTACTCTAAACAATGGCCATGTTTTCACCACACAGGCTCTTCTAGGTTTTCTCCTCTGTAATGTGGAGAGGATGGACTTGGATATTGTGGAGGATGACGCAGGGCTTTGGTTTGAAGGCAACAGATCGGTGGGAGGGTAATTACAGGCTACTGTGTGGCTCTTTGGATTTTCCCTGGATCACAGCTATAGGCCATGAAGCTCAGCCTCAAATGCAACTCTCTGAGAATGAAGTAAAATAGCCACAACATATGGACCCAACAAAACAATGGTTTATTTTTACGATTTTTGATGAGTGGTTTTTAATTTAGATTGTCACTCCTGGCAAGGAGCAGGGCAGATGGTGCAGACTTGAGTGCCCATCAGAGCCTAAATACCTCCAGGCAGCTGTTGGCCATAAACTTTTTTTCTCTAGCATTTTCTCTCTTTAACACGGCTCGGGTCAAGAGGAGTCAAACCTGTTACAACACCTGTTTCTGCATATGCAAATCTGTTGTTTTGTCATTTCATTAGGCAAGGCGAAAAGACGGGGGTCCCTTGTGGTTGCAAATGCGACTGGCACTGGGCCCAGTTGGCACGCTGCACTGTAGAAAGACGCTTGAGGCAGGGTGAGGGGAGAGAAGACGAGTTTGGTTTCTGTAGCACAAGCGACTTAACCATTGGGTTCCTTTACATCACAGCTCAATTTCGGGGTGGGCTCCTAAAATTTGGGGACAAAGTTGGACTGGATGTAAGGAGGGGGGAAAGTTCCACTCTCTATTTTATATGTATATCTTCTCTGTAAAGAGGATCCGAAAGTGAATGATGAAGGAAGGCAAAAATTGGCACACGTGTGGCTGGCACGCGCCACTCGCCTCCTTCACCCGGGATGGGGTGGGGGTACCCCCCCTCAATATCCTCTCCTCTACTCCCCCTTCCCAACCTCATCCCTTCATCATCTGGCGCTCTCCCGCAGCGCTCGTCTCTTAACCACATGTGCCAGTGCAGGGCCTGCTCGTGCTCCGGGGCTAATTGTTCACTGGTAAAACTGCATGCTTGTTGGTGGGGGTCTCCCCTTCAACCAGGCATAGGGATACAAAGCAGGGTGGCGGTGTGTTTGAGAGCGTGGGGTGGGATGGGGGGGCTCAAGATCATGATCTCTTCATGCAGTTTATTTTTCCCATATAAGTCTGAAGATTGTCAGTTGTAATCCTGCCTGTGTGCTGAATGCAACAAATACACCATGAAATTAAAGGTTATTGCAGGAGCGTAATGCAAAAGCTCTGTTTGAGATTACCAAAGCTGTTTGCAGACTTGCAGAGGATGAGAAGTGGGGAAAACACAGTATGTTTTCCTTTCCTGTGTTTGACAGTTTATGTCTTCCTTTGATCACTGGATTGATGGGTCATTTTAAACAGATGTTTAGAATATTCAGACTTCCTTTCATTACAGTTGTTCAAAAAACCTTTAAGGCATTACAGTTACACTCACACTGAATGTATCTATCAACATTTCAGATTCCAAATTATTTTAAAATACAAATTTGTATTTTAAGTAGTTAACCTTGGTGTGTTGTCACTGAATTCAGTGTAGCGTGCTCTCTTGAACTTTTTTACAAGTGCCTTCATCAGCGTACACTTAAGAGTTAGATGGATGGAAAGACCCAGGACTAGTGCCTTTGCTGAGTTAATCTCATCTGATAACTGCTGTCTTCCCCTTCCTTCTCCTCCTTTCTTTTCTCCCACTCTCTGTCCTCCTCCTTTCTCTGCCATGGCTTGGTGGGTCTGATTTGTAGTTCTGCTCCTCTCTCACAGAAGGCATTAAAGCCAGGCCCCACAAGCCCCCTCTGATATGGGAGAGTTCATTAGAGATGTGCCTTTGATGGGCAGCCTTTTCATGTGACTACCGGTTTTTCAAATACCTTGATGTAGAAGCTTAAGAAGCCATTGTGCAGTAAGCCCTCCTTTTGATGCGACTTATTTAGATCTGCATAGTAAATCAGGGGGGAGTAAATAACCAGCCAGCAGATGGAAGCAAGGAGATAAGGCAGCAGCGAACAATCGCATTTGTATTTTGTTATGATGTTGACAGCAGCTAAAATTCACTAATCTAGAGCCACTGATCTGCATTTCAAAGAAATCTCATTTAGCAGCGGGGAGGATAAAGTTCCTCTCATTGTGTCTATTTTATTGCATTCTTCGCTAATTTATCTGCCCACAGATTTAACGTGCAGGGCTTGGTGGTAGGAGCCGGCGTCCGTGCGTTGCATAGGGGGTCTTAAATACTGTGAAAGCGGTTACGTCTAGACTGTGAGCTGAGGGTAATTACACGTCTGACCATGAATAGAATGAGTTTGAAGACTCATCTTTCTTCAGGCAGGCCTGAATTGCTCGACTAACACTGATAAGGAGCATTTGGTCCCCACAGAAATATTGCCAGTGACTTTCCATAACGCCCCCCCTCTCTTTCCAACACCAAGGATGGTATTTACTTTTAAGATAAAGTTATTGTGTATAGTAATCTGACTTGTTAGCATAATGTCCTCTTTCATCGCAGGACCCTCCTTTTTCTGATGTGTGGAGGTATTTGTGGTCCAGGTCTTAAATAGTTTATCTTGACTTAGCGCACAAGCACTTTATGTAAATATCAGCCTATAGCATTATTAGACCTTCATGAATAGTTGAATGCTTTTGCCATATTTATAAGTTGATAGAATTTACCAATGGTTTTAGACTTGGCATAAAGACATGTGTGTTATTTGTAAATCCCCACGAATTGGAGGTCATGCAGACTAATAGCATTCCAAATGCTTTTCCACTGAATAAAATATAACATCTGCATGGCCACAGGGTGCTGTGATGATGGAAGTCTACCCAGGAGCAAATGATTTAAGAGAAGTGGGGGGCATTATCTAAAAATTATATTTTATATCTATATTATATCTAAAGTGGCTCCTTAGTGTAGTGGTTTACACATTCGATAACAGGGAACGAATCCTCGGTTTGATCCCAGGAGCCGCAAGTCCTTTTGGGGTTGTGAAAGGAAGGGCATCAGGTTTAAAAAATCGGCCAAATCAAACATGTGGAGATACCTGCTGTGGCAACTCTTTGTGAATAAGGAAGCAGCTGAAAGTAGCTTATCCATATTATATCTAAAATGTGCTTTTTCAGATGTAGTAATCCCATCCAAGTAGATGTTTCACTCTACTTAAATACACATTAAAACAATTGTTATTCTGAAACTTTTCATGTCGGTTTTCCCAATATCCAGTCCACTGGTTGGTGCTCACCCCCCAGTCTTAAACCTTCTTACCCCATTCTTTGCAAATATTGTGCAGCAATATGTGCAACGTTTTTTCCACAAACTCAAAACAGTGAGAAATTATACCAGTTGGCATGTTTTTGTTTTCAGCTGTGCTCTGTGAGCTCCGGGCCTTTTGCACAGTTCAGAGAGCACATTCCTTAGGATTCAGCAGTCGCTGGTTGCCTGTAGGGGTCATTGGAATTCTGGGAGAATAAAAGGGAGAGGAATAAAAAAACATCCCAGGGAGGAACATCCAGGCCATTTTTTGCCCTTCATGCCCCCAGCAGCAGAAAGTGGCCTCTCTGATGCTCCTGGGGACTTGTTGTTAGCCCCTAGTTCTCTAAATGTAATGCATGTGCAATAAAAGTGTCCAGATCAATCAGTAGCTGCAGATGTGGCATTGTATTCTTCTTTCAATGTACTTGTGTGATTAACACAAAAATCATCAATGCTAATGGGCTCTAAATTATATGGATACCATAGCATGTGTACTTAGATTCAGACAGCTGAATGGAAGTATATGAGAAATCAATCGTGTCAGGTTAACGGTGTGATTTACTTGGCGTTGAGAGCTAGAGCCTTCCAGGCACTGCGCCTTTTAACTTTACAGAGATTGAGCAGTTTGGGGGCAGGGGAGTGTACTGTATCGTACATTGCCTGTTGGTGCATGCATTTACACACAGATATATACCCACACACATATGCTCTCAGGCTTCACAGCAAAAATCCAGGTGCACTTTGTTGTCACAAAGTTTACTGCCTTCACCTACAAACCTTACAGAAAATAGTTATGCAATAAGCCATCTAGCCCACACTTGTTAGTTCCAGCAATGAATGTTCCTAGGGGGAAAAAAAATCAGTGTGTCATAAAGTAGTTTTGGACTAACAGTGTGCTTTTCTTTTCTCTAATCTCAGAGAGCTGACATTGCTGGACTGCTACCCCACCTGTGACGGACAACAACAGCAAGTTCTCTCCCTGAGGGTAAGTATTTGAACATAGTCCCTTCATGTCCATCGGTCAAAGCATCCTGGACCTTGGGAGGGATTTAGAGCAGCATGTATTTTCAAAGCTCTGTGTTAAAATTAAAAGTACACAGTGCATTCCTAAGGCCAATTAATCTTTCAGAGTAAAACTCTTATGTAAAACAGTTGTGTGTTTGCATGCAATGACTGTGTCTTTGTTTTTAGTCTGTGCTTGATAGTGTTACGGTATTGTTAACCTGCCCGTGTTAGGGTGATTGTAGTGGCTGGAAGAGGTCAGTGGGGCCCCATTCCTCCTCAAATGTAACAAATCTTCATCTTGTCTACCTTGATAGAATTCCCCCTTCACTGGGCAACCTTTCAGTTGTGCCTGTTTGGTTTTCACACCCCAAGGATTTTCAATCTACTCTTACTTAGAAGTTATGATATGCACTATGGCTGACAAATGTGAGCAAGCTTGGATTTCTTTTTTCTTTTTCTTTTTTTTTTTTTTTTTTTACTTTTTCTTTTTCTTTTTTATGCAATTGATGTCTTGATTGAGATTTGTAGCAGAACTAGAATTGAAGAGGGGTTACATTGTTCCTAAATTCGGTATATTCCACATGTATCTCTCTATATTGGTGAACACAGCAGGTGGCAAAAGTGGGACTCCACCAGTCAGACTTTTTCCATACAAATAATGAAATAAATAAATTATGAAATTGAATTTTGTGAATTGGAATGAAGAGTAACAAACAAGGAACAAAAATATATGACTATTAAAAAGCCCCAAAACATTTATTTATGACGTAAATCTAGTTTATTTGCATGTTTTATTCCAGCCTAGTCCGTGTCTTTACTGCATTTTACCTCCTTTCTTCCTCTGCTCTCTGTTTCACCGTCTCTGTCACATTGTGTGCTGAGCTCTGCTAAGCAGAGCTTATGAGAGTAAAGCCGACAGTTTTTCTATCATTGATAGAACAATGTTTGTTTACAATAAAATCACAATGCAAGCAGCCAAACAGAACTTAAAAACATTGGAAACTGTTGCATTAAATTAAATGGAGTCCACAGATCAACCCGTAGCCTCAGATTCCAAATCCAGCTATTTCTAGCTATTTGAGTCAGTTACAAAGTATCTGCTCAATGCATGTCCAGACAAATGCGCTTTTTTGTTGTTTTTTTCGGTGTGCTTCTCATATTTATGGTCCGACATGTTTCTTATTTTTCTTTTTAGGGATGAAATATGTATACAGTGCACCCGTAGAAAAAAGCAGACGACAAACACTGTAAAGTGCAAAGTGGTAAGTGAAAGCAGTTTTCATTGTCCTTGCATGCCTGGTGTTGTGTTTTCTTTCAGATTAATGTGTCCACTGTAATGAGGCACATCAGTCACGACTGCTGATGGGGTTTGGCTTTAGAGAAACAGTCCTGGGTGCTGAAATGACAAATCAGCAGAGCGGGGTATGAGAAAAGTGTACATATCAGTGTATCGTTTTCTTATGGATATATTGGTCATATGGTCTGGAGGGTGTTATTGTGACCTTATTAAAAAGAAAAAGCACAAGTGTTGTTTAAAGGTTGCACATGATAATCTGCCATTTTACATAATGCAATAGCCATTTATTTATTGCAGTTAATTAAATGCCACAATTATTCTGTCAAGGCCAAAGATGGAGGAATGTTTGTCTTTTTTGCAAGACAATGCATAAACTTGTTGAGGTGGAGCTATTACATTTTGGAGCCAATCTGGTTCATTTCCAAAAGAAGTAAAAAACTTTTTTCTGTGGTTGATTTATTGTTTGAAGCTAGAAGTTTGTGTCTGTTTGCTTTGAATCTATTTTTAAAATCTATTCAATCCATAACCTAACAGGAAAAAAATAAATTTTTCTTAAAACACCATCTTGGAGTACAGTCTTTGAGGTTAAAATGTGATTAAAGTGTGTGCACATAAGCAAAGACACTCAGCATCTTGGGTGCGAGACCACTTCCACCTTCCCATTGCTTTCATTCCTGAGTGAAACAGAGTCAAGATTTATTTTTCCACCTAAAAGAGATTTAAACATTACTTCTTAATTTGTCCAGTATTCAGTTAAATCTTCAAAGATGAACTCTTACTGCATATCTGCTAGCCTAAAAATGTCCCTCTAATCATTGCAAAAATGTGTAATTGCCTCAACACTGCAAGCTGCACTTCCACCGTAGACACATATAAAAATCTACAGCAATTAAGCATATCTTTGGCTACTTTAAAGAAGCTACAGCTCAGTCTGAACAGCTCTCTGCGCACATTTCCAGTTTGAAATTGATTTCTTGTCATAGATCAGAGACCTCTTGTCATACCATTTTCAATCCTCAGATGGTTTCTCTGAGCCCGCTAACTGTCGTCCCTGTGAGTGGGCAAACAGGGGAACCTCCACGGGTCTTTACCCTGGGCACTCAGAACAGTCGAGGGGGTAGAGGCAGAAATCAAAGGGACTTGGATCATTCCCCATTGGCAGCCTCCATTGTCTAGCTGATTTGGGATTGGTGGAGAAGGTGAAAACTGCAGGGTCGGTGTGTGGGGGTGGATGGAGATCAGGCAAAGCAACCCTTCTTTTTTTTCTAATCTTTATCCACCATTAACCCCAGTGCCCCCGTGTGTGGCTGAGATCAGGGCCATTGGTCAATCCCCCATTCACTGCCACCCAGAATATTTTAAAGTTAAGCTCCATCGCTTAACAAAAAAAGTCTTACTCATCAAAGGTTTACTTTCCCTTCTTTCCCCCTTTTCCTCACTTTTGCACTCACTCCCAAGGATCTGCTGCCGTTCTTCATGCGCCCTTCTCTCTATGGTCCACTGTTTTGTCTTCACACTTAGGAAAGAGGGAGGAGGAGAAGCTGAAAGTTTTTTGGAAGTTCCCCAGTTTCCATTTTTCGATTTAATGAAGTTTGGGGTAGGGTCTGATTGTGTCATACTGTGAGCAAATTGGAAGAAAAGCCAGTGACATCTTGCCCTTTGCTGAGCTCTCTGATTAGGAGATGTCCTGTTCTTACATTACTTCCATGAAGGAATTATTTTTGCATACCTGACATTTATATTTCCAGCAATTTTTTCCTCTTCTTTTTAACTGGTGTGAATGCTCCATATAAAACCCAGTTTAAGAAGAAGATAGAATTCAGTCCAGGTCCTGTTCTCAGTATAAACACTTTAGATTAATCTCTTTTTCCACACTATACTTTTTTCCTAGCAACTATCGGGTATTTATCTCACTCACATCTATCTAAAAAAGAAATAACTGAGGGTCAGAGTAAAAAAGCAAGAGAGGATGTGGAGATGGAGGATGTCGGGTGATGAGTAAAGAAAAGAAATTGCACGGCGAATGTTTGTCCTGAGTGCACAGTTGCTATGAGAATGAAGTTTGCAAGGAGGCTCAGAATGAGTATTACCATCATTACCTCAGAAGAAGATGGCTCTATTGATCCTCTGCGGTATTCCCCTCTTTTTCTTTCATGCTATCTGTTATCCAGTTGATTATAAATTGCCAAATCTTCATTCGAATATGAACGGATGAATCTGAATCTAGAATATGTAATTTAAGAAATTTTAATGCAGGAAAAAGAAAGTTAATTTCCCTCAGCAAAGGTGGCCTGCCTCAGCATACTTTGGGGCCCTTGCAGTAGTTCTGTATATGTGTGTGCGTCATATTAGATAATACTCGTTGGAAATACCGCATGCAATAGCTTAATTTCTGAAGAAAAGGGAGCAAAGATCTGCTGTTTCAAGTGTTATTCTTTCCTTGCAATTTAATTCAAGAAAATCTTGGGGCGTGGAAGCAGGGCCTGATGGCATCTCTCCAAGAGCCTGAGATTATTGTGAAACCCAACCTGAGGCAGGCATGACATCAGAGAGGCCTGACTTTAGGTTGAACTCCTTATTTCAGGTGGGACGAATTATGAGTGGGCTTCGCTCGCAGGTGATCGTGTCCAGTGAATCGGTCGCACACACTCGCGCATTCTTCTCCCAAGGTCTGAATGCTGATTGTCTTGACAGATTGAACTCGTGTGTTATCACCAAGCTGTCACGCAGCCTCATTTTTCAGCCTGCACAAATAGTCTAAAGTTTATGTTAGCCCTTCCCAGCGCAGTGTTTTATAGGGATATTGCCATCGTGACATAAACTAAATCCTACAGTGTTTTAACCTGCTGATGAGTTCTGTTTATGTAAGGGTCTGCATGCTAAGGTGCAGTACATGGAAATAACTGAGTTGCCAAGAAGTTGTTCCTGAATTCTTGGGAGACACTAAAAATCAAACATTATTTTAAATGTGATTACAATTAACTTTTTGCACGTTAGCTTTGTGAACTTAAGTCTGTCATAACTACATTTAGTTTTTTTTTTTATTTGAGTGACTCAGTTTTGCTGTTTTTAATTAATGGTAGGATTCCTCTCTATGATAAGACTTTCTCTCTCTCTCCCCCCCCCCCCCCCTTTACTTTCTCTCAAAGTAAAAGTTTCAAATCAAACCACACGGTCACAGCCACTGAAAAAGCTTTTACTCCAGAGGCAACAAGCCAAGTCCTTTGTTCGTAATGATCATTTGATCGCAGCTTGAAAAGGGATACAGGCGGCAGCGAAATCCTACAAGAGCTTGGAATCTGACTTCCTCACCACAAACCACAAGCCTAGACAGTGCAACCGCTACTACCTGGTTGGAGGCGAAATGGGCAAAAAGTATTCATGTGTGTGGAAAAACACACTCACACAGCATGCTCGATTTGGGTCATGGAGCTGACAGACAGTGGAATGTGAATGTGTGTATGTTGACAAACTCCACTGCACTCTGAATGGGGTTTGTGATTACACCTCATCATGCGTGTTGCATCGGTCCTGTCTCCGGCCCCGATCCTTCTCCCTCCCTCCATCTCTCTCCCTCTCTCTCTGCTTTCCTCTTGCCTTCCACTCTCTCCACCCCCCCACACCCCCCAATTTCTCCCCCTCTCACCGCAGTGCCTCTTGGGCAATCATGTGGTCACACTACCTGACTCCTTGCTGCTCAAGAGTGCAGTTGACAAAAACAGCCCGAGGCCCATCATGTGGAAAAGATTCAGTCGGCACACAGCATACATCCTACCCCCCACCCTACAACTTCTCACTTTCTCCCGCTAAGTAACTGGAGCACCGGGGTGTTTCCTTCTTCTGCTCACCTGTGAAGGAAAATGGCAGGGCTTTCCTCCTGTCTGGCCATATGAGAGAGTGGGTATTTTTGTGTTTGCAACTTTGCAGCCACGGTACGTGGATGCCGCTTTAAACAGCCGTGCAAAAGCGCATGTGGGTGTACGTGTGTGCTTTCCACCCTCTCCCTACCACACTCTGAGAGGTCCAGGCAGTTTCTCTTTGTCTGATGAGTTGCACACCTCGTGTCATGTAACATAAAGCTGGCGGTCAGTGAGAGCTCTCAGCTGTCAGTCAGCTTGGTGGTCCTGGCCTGTCGAGCTGCTCACCTGTGTTTATTGGACAAGACCCCCTCCACATTACCCAGGGAGAACATCTTGTCTCCCCTCCTTTTCTTTTTCTCTTCCTCTCTGCCATGCCTTCTCTTTTATTTTGTCTCTTTTTATCATTCCCTTTGTCTGTCCTTCTTCCTCTTCCCGTTTCTCAACATAGTATCATTTTTGTTTAACTTCTCTCTCAGTCATTTTTTAAAATCCACCCCTACCTCCTTTCCCGAACTCTTCTCCCTACTGTCCTGTACAGTTTATTTTTCTGGCTTTCTTCCCTGTTTTTGCTTTTCTACTATTCTTTTGTTTCCTTCTCTCTCCTTTCCCGCTGTCCGTTTTGATTTTGAATTATTTTGGGACCTCTTTTGTCACTCCTTTGAGTTTGAAGCCAAAGAGGCGGTGGTGTTCATCTTTTCTCTGCACCTGGATGAACACACGAGCTTGCTTGCACCGCCGCTGGATGACTGATTGAAACTTGTGTCTCAAAGTTGCTAATGTTCACTGAAGCATTATATTGTAGATAAAGTAAATAAACTGGGGTACCATGGGAGAAATCTCTGGAATAGACTGCTGAGATCTCACAGATGACACACACACATTCACATGCATGTAGACTGGCAGAGGCTTTCTCTCTTTCACTTACACAAAGACGCACACACTCACACATCAAGCAAATGGCTGAAGAGATGTCAGCGAGGCTGAGGCGTGAGCAGAGCTAGGGCGCGGAGATATTTTCTATGGCTCAGGAATTTCACAAGTTTAATGTTTTTTGAGAAGCTCTCTAGAAAAATAACAGTTAGACTCAAGGATCTGCAGTCAAGTG